CTGATAAATGATAGCTAAATCATGATCAGAATAAATAAAGGAATTCGCTAAAGACGGCCACTAACTTAAAGTATCACGGTATCGTAACACCAATGTCCAAACTTAAGACATGTTATTCTTATTATTTCTCTATTGACTATGCGTAGCACTGATTGTTCAATATAGATATTGTTATTGATAGCATACTCAAGTTGTTAAGAGTAGTATCCTCAGCCTTGTCCCTTCCATTTATTATAATTACTCTTTTTTTTCCTCTTCTAAAATTTTTAGTTAACTTTAACATCAATAAATCTGACAAGAATTTTAACTGATCCTATTGTTTTTCAAAACCTTTTTTTCTGCAAAACTATCCTATCTTAAGTCTACTTTTGCTACACCGACAAGGAAATTTTAAGAGCATCCGCAGCAGTGGCGCTCGTTTTTCGGTTATGTAGGCGCAAAACAATAGTTTTAAAAAATTTCGCCAAAGGATTTTTAAAAGTTACAAAAAAAGTCGATCTCTGAAAAAAATTGAGTCCTTTTACACTTCAAAGAAATAATTAACATTAACGACGAAACCACATTGAGTAGAAAAAGCCATCATATTTCGTTTTTTTTTTTTTTTTTTTTTTCAGGCACACTTAATTTTTTTGGTCGATTGCTGGAGTTGATTTAGAACCTTTATGTAACTACACTTTAAGCTAAAACGTTTTTTAAGCGCTACTTCTGGGGATGCTCTAAGTGATGATTCAAATGGTCTGGTGCTATGCTACATCATCCATGTTTCAAATGATACTGGATCTATGTGTGCGAAATCAACAAGTATATTATTTAATAACTTTTGCTTATTTAAAACTCACACGAATGTAAGACATGTTCGATACGATGAGTTATGAGTAAAGCTTCCCTCACTGGTGATATAGTAATTCTAGCTACTTGAAGATTTAACGATCTACACAACATTTAGTGCAAGATTTTATAAATAAAGATTTCTGTTTTGTAAAAATAAAAACTTGCTTTACATTTGACCGACACTACGGTTCTTCAAATGAATAAAGAAATATGGGTTCAGTGTCGAAAGAAAAAGCTTACACTGCCCCTATCAAATAGACTCCTCTTTAGCACAAGGCCAGAGCAGAGTTACAGCTCTGATACAAAAAGACAAAAACCAATCCCCCTCCCACCTCTTTTGCAAACATAAATCCTGCTCTCTTTTGAGCTGATGATAATAAGACGTGTCAATTGCTGGCTTTTAGTGAAGAAAGAGCTATCCGTACACATTCAGATATCATATATTAAATGATCTACTTCGCGCCCTACAGGTGTCCCATCTTCACACAGAGTCATCAAACGAGTCTTTTATATTCTGGAATAAATATTCGCTCACATTAATTATCTAAACATTGTGAAACAGACTTACAATAGCTGCCGACTTTTATTTGTGTTGATATCCCCATCACCTTTCTAACTCATTTCTACGATCATCCACAAGATATCTCTTTTTCTTTTACACCAAAAACTGTTTCTTTATGTAACACAGATCCACTATATGCTTCTGCTTCTGTATTTCCGATCTGGCTAATACTTTTTGACTTTGTCTTTAAAGCTGCTTTCTGCTGTTTTTTGTCGATTATAACTATTATAATAGAAAAGCCGTCGTTCAATTCTTCATAGTTCCCAGTGAAATTTTGTAACCCATCACCTTTATCGTTTGCGGATAGCCTGTGGTGACCTAGCAAGGCTATAGCCATATTAGAGCTAACAAAGGTTTATCCATGCTGATACCATTTGTGATATAAGCTTAGCAATAAATGTCATAGTAAGAACTATAAGGATATTACATTACAAGTCTAATTTAGTACGTCTGAGAAATACTTAAAATTTAGTTTAAAGCAAAGAGAGTTAATAAGACTCAACATTTATTAGAAGAAGACTAAGTTAGTGACTATGTAATAATCATATACATTTTTGGCTCATCAATGATAACTTCAAGATAGCACTAGAGATATGAACACAGCAGACAGTCTTTTATATAAATACTCGTATATTTCATTTATTAATAAAGGACAATCTTATAAACAGTCTCAAACTACTTCTATAGTCTTTTTAAAATTTTACTTTACCTTAAAACACAACATAGCCTATGGCAATTACCCTCAATTTGTATTGTCAATTCCAAATTGACATCCAGCTTTACCTTCCAAAGAACGGGTTCTTGATCATGAGAATCTGTTGATTGTCATTTGCTCCACTTAAACATTTTCTGATCTCACTTTCAAGGGAATGATTCCAATACCACACTGTTTTGATCCACTGTTCTTATTGTCAAAAAAATTAGGAAATAAGACGATTTTGAAATCACGTCACACTGATATAGATTTAAAGCATGTCTCGATCGAAACCAAGACTTTGTAGCTGGTAACTGGTGGGCGGTGTCAATGTTTTAAAACTTTATAGATTGAGTACAAAGCTTAGAATAAAATAAATATCAAGTCCCGTGTTTGTATAATCACTTGATAACCTGGGTTCAAGGGTGACATGACATGAGGAAAGTTTATTTTAACTTCTAATATATCGGCCAACTATAGCTACAAGGAATTCTCTGAAACCGTCAATATAAATTGTATCACTGAATTTAAAATAAAAAGAATTATAAAAGTAAGTTTGATTATTGATTGGTAAACAATACTAAATTACTACATTACTCTTGGGCTTCTTGACGGGGTACCTGTTAATGGTGGTTGTGTTTGGGATTAAATGCTTATCCTTGAAGCTTTATCTCTGCCTAAATATTTTTGCTCTTCATCAGCTATTTATCGCCAGGATTCATCAATGTTTGCATTGGAAAGAACCTAAATGTTAAATCATTATCTTTTATATCAATAATTATTTTACACTTGCACTTTAGTACCAACACTTAAGTGTACCCTCGTAGCCAATAAGAATCCGTTCACGTGATTATCACGTGACACACCGCAAATAATTAAATGTACACACTATTACTTTTTTTAAATTTTTGTTGACATCTCTGCTTCCGTGGCGCAATTGGCTAGCGCGTCTGACTGTTAATCAGGAGGTTGGTGGTTCAAGCCCACCCGGGAGCGTTAATTTTTTCCCTTTTTGCTCTGATTTCGTGAGACTTTTGTCCAAACTATTGTTGTGATAGTTTTTATAGATTGTTTTATTTTTTGCTGATATAGTATTCAAAAGATGATTTTTTTCAGGTTTTGTAATCGCTGCAGTGTCTCCCTTATCAAAAAGATGTAATGCTATTATTTCAAAAATGTGCATCGTGGTGTTTAGCGTTCGGAATGAAGATCGTGTTTTAGTCGAAGCTCGCTCAAGTTTAAATGGTACAAAAACTGCACTTGAATGTGATATCAAATTCAAAAAGTTATAATCATCATAATATTATTTATTGTAATAGGATTTAACGTAAGATACTCAATAATAAAAATAAAATCAAGTGGATATATCGATATGACTAAGTCAGATTATGACAAGAAACAAACTAAAGGTTTTATTTAGATACTTTGGGGTTTTTTATAAGAAAAGGAACAATAAGCCCTGAGCAGAAATAAGAAATTCTAAAGTCAAAAAGACCGGCAGAAGAAGAAAAAGATGGCGCGACAATGACCATAGCCATGGATAATTTTAAAGACGAAATCAGTTCAATAATGCTGAATTTGAAGGAGAGCATGCTAGTAGCACTGTGATGTATATACACTATATATCCAGCCTATAATCTACTTGACATATAATAGCAACCTAGCACTGAAAAATAACCCATTAACTGATCAAAATATTAGTGTCTACTTCCAATCCACGCTCCCATTTGATCTTCCCGGATAACAATCTATTCAATCCTTCCTTATAAAAAGGATCCCCTTTTCCATTTGATAAAAAGATATTTAGTTTTAGTCTCAAATAATTTAACCGTTTATTTTTTGGAATATTTCACACTGGATATTTAATTTGATAATTAACGATAGAAATTATCATTGAGTATAGTTTGTATCCTGTTATATTCAGTAACTAGAAGTATGAATTAAGATGGAACATATGGTGAAAGTAAAGTCTGATTTAAGAAATATCCATCAATTTTTTTTTTTTTTTTTGGGAGGGTATAAGAGAAATCGAATTTTTTTATAGCAGCAGTTTGTACACGACGATGATCAATGTAAATAGTTGGCAAAACCTTGGTTCCTTACTACCATACTAATATCTCCAAGACAAATGAGGTTATTCAAGATGATGGGAAATATGTGAAGAGCAATTTTTAAAATGCTTCAACTAAAAGTCAAAACGAAGAATACTAAAAGCCTTAGTGAAAAAGTTTGCTTTCGTAAGGAGCATGGAGGCTGTATACTTAATATATGACTTTATCCACACTTCTTGAATCTTCCATTTGATAATCCTAAATATAATTCTTATTGATAATCTATAAATCAAAAACTGATCATTTACTTTATGTACAGGCTTGATCTCATATCATCCTTCATACAAGTATAAGACATACACTTAAATAATAAAATTGATATGAAAACATATGAAGGTTACATCAGCCACATTGAGGTGTCACAGCTATCTTTATTAAGAACTACAATTTTCCCTGAATATTGTGCCACAAGACATACACAGTTTAAAGATGAATGTTATTGTTATTGTTATTGACATCTCATTATGGCCTTTCTATACGGAATCATTACTCATCCGATATGTTTGTGATGCACATAAGCCTTAATTTTGTGTTCGGAAATTGATGTTTGTTATATCGCTCATTGTCTACTTCCCATGTGTAAATTCATGTTTGTTATTTATGAGTTACTTTTTTTGTATGTTTTTCATCGTTATCCTCCATGTTACATGGTTGAGCTACGACGAGGACGATTTTGTGATACGACACCGGACAGTAAAATATATTTCCCCTGGACTCTTCCAATTTTGCACATATATAACATCTATCTTTCATTGTTTTCCAATTAAAATCACATTTATTTACATAAACATTTTTTAAAGCTATGAATAACGCATCTTCATCTAAATCTGTAACCCTCGCTGATCAAGATCTTCAAAGAGACATTGATAATGCTGTTCAACTTGAACGTAATAGCCAAATGATTGTTGCTGAAAGAAATGAGGTTCGACCTAAAAATACCAGCAGATCTTACTATAGTAGACAAGAGGAGTGGAAGGTAAATATAGTTATGAACAATGTGCTTAATTATGATTTTAAAAAAATATGCTGTCCTTCATTAGACTTGGTGCATTGATCAAAAGTTTACTGATGGTGTTACAGTAAACGATCGTAAACTCAGTCTTTTCTTGAGAGAGTTCATTGTTCCAAGAGGTCGTAAAACCGAAAGAAATACCGATGGAAGTGCCATTCCTTTAGGTAGAGAGTCTATCAACAGCTACGTCAAGGCTTGTATGGATTTGCAATCACAACAATTAGCTCTTAACAATGAGACGAGAGCCGTAAACAGAGGTCCTTTAGTAGTTGCTTTCATGGAAACATTGGGTAGAAGAGAAGCCAAGAGAAAGAGAGCTGACTTTGATGATCGTGGTGTAAATAGATTGAATGATGGTTACACTCCTAGCCAATACCTTGCCTGTTGCTGTTTGTTCATGCGTCAGAACTCAGTAGTTGCTATCAGAAACCGACTTTGTTTCATGATCAGCCATGCCATGCTTTTGCGCAGCGAAACAGCTCTGGGAATGCAATTTGCCGATCTTTTTACTACTGAGCTCAATGGTCAAGGTGTTTCTCAATGCATTGCTTTGGTAACCAGTATCACTTGTGGTAAGACTAACCAAGATGGAAAAATGCAACATGGATCAGCTCTGAGACATAAAGACGTTGAACTTTGTCCAATCGGTGCACTTGCACTTCATCTCTTTTCGCGTTTTCATTTCGAGAACGAGCCTTTCCCCGATTTCAGCTCACGTAAGAACTGGTATCAAATCTACCTTTTTCCTGCCCAAGGTACTAGCCAGCCAATCAAGTATGATGAACAGGCCAAATTTTACCGTGAAATCCTTACCGAGGTTGGAGTGTATACTTCAAAGGTGACTCACGTGAACCGAAAGAGTGCCATCAACATGATTTGCCATTCGGGTGTTCCTGGTGATGAGCAGCGCTTGGTTGGTAGATGGGGTGGTGATCGTATGCTTGGTTCATACATTGATAAATTGCCTATCATGGCTATAAAAGCTCTTGCAGGCTTTACTGTCCGTCATGGTGATTATTTTCTCGCCCGCACGGTTATCACTCCACCCGAGGAGCTTCAAAAAGTTGTTTTTCCTGAGATAGAGTCCTGGTTGGAGAAGTTTCACAACAAGGAGGTGGACAAGGACATGGCTGGACATAACTTTCTCCAAACTTTGTTGTTCTTGAGAACTGTATTTCTTCAGGTAAGCTAATTATTATTTTATTTTTATTAATGCAAAATCTAATCAAAGTTATATTTGTAGGATGCAGTTCTCTTGATGCAAAAGTATCCGAGTCTATATTTGTGGACTAACCCTATTTTTTCGACTGAGGCTTTTAAAAGCTTTTCAGAGCAATTAATAGCTTCAGTCGCAAACTCTGAAGCGAGAGTAGATAACAACAGCATACTAGAAAATGCCATGCCTGAGCTCCTCGCTCACATCAGGAGTAACGACAAGGCTGTGCACGGATCTCTTCAAGAAATCCAATCGAAGATCGAAGCGGTCAGAAAGGACCTTGTGGACCAGCAATCCACTAACAAAGAGCTTCAAAATGATTTAAACAATCGTCTACAACACACCGCCCCCTCCTTGTCTGCCCCCTCTCTGTCTGCCTCCTCTCTGTCTGCTCCCTCTCTGTCTGCTCCCTCTCTGTCTGCTCCCTCTCTGTCTTCCCCCTCTCTGTCTGTCTCCTCTCTGTCTGTCTCCTCTCTGTCTGTCTCCTCTCTGTCTGTCTCCTCTCTGTCTGTCTCCTCTCTGCCTGCCCCCTCTTCTTCAATTGACACTGAAGTATGTTCGACATATAGAATGAACAGACATTTTGTGACGGTCACCGATGTTTGGAGGGAGTATGATGCCGGTATCATGGGCGAACCATCAATCCGATTTTTGGAGGAACGCTATGGTACCGGTTGGCGCAGGGGGGATAGAAAGGAATCAAGATTTTTGAGCCGGCGAATGACAATCATTCGGGAGATAGAAAGACTTGCTGCTGACCACAAAGTGTCTTGTGATGAAGCGACCATGCTTTTGGAGAAGCGCCGAGTGGAACTGGGAATGTCTTTAGACAAGTTGAGAAAGACAATTTCCGGTGAAAAGTAGTTTTTTTTTATATTTGTACATTTTTTTTTTTACTGGCTTATGCAAATAAAGACCTTTTTTTTTTATAAAACCAAAGAATGTGAATACCTTTATGTCTAAACGTTAGGCTGCTTCTTAGACTCTCGCATTATGTATTTGAAATTGTTCAAGGGTTTAACGATGAGTAGTTGATGTCTTTTATTTATAGGATTTACTACATGATTCCAATCATGGGTAAAAATAATAAGATTATATATTCGAGCTACCAGCTTTATATGCTTTAAGATGATAGCATCAGAATTATCAAAAAAAAAAAAAAAGAATTTAGTTAGATTGGTCGTTGAACGTTTAAAGTAGGTGTCATATTCAAGTATGCATCAAAAGACTCTCACTTTGAAGGGGACTTTTTTATTTAGTTGACAAGGTAAGTTTACGATTTAAAAAAAATTCCCCATTAATAAGGGACATAGATCAGCTTTTATTCTTTCAAATGCTCCATTGGTAAATCCCTCTTTGTTATTTGTTCGGATTGGACGCCTAACATCGTTCGAAATATGTTCCTGAATGTTAATATGCTGTGGTTTTGCACGAAAATCTCGAAAGCAAAGTTAAGATAAACTCTAAAATCAGTTCAATTATCGAGTGCGTTAGTTTCTAACAGACTCTTAAAGCTCTATAAAATATAAAACAAGAGCAAAGTATAACAATATGCCACTTGATCGTGTAAAATTCCAATTTTCGTGATTTCGGACTTTTATTCTTAAAAATACATGTCATTTGTGAATAGAAAAACAGAAGCCAGTAACTAGTGTTATTGCAATAATCATTAAATTTATAGACGCAACTGGGATTGATGATTGCCAGATCAAAAACAAGTCGTTTTATGTTAAGTATATAGTAGACATATCTACTCTTTCAACATATAGTGATATAAATCTTAGGTAATGCATCTATATTTTCGCTTTTTCAATCCGATTGTGAGGTACTAGGCCGAAATAAAGTTGTGATCCCATCAATGCAGAAGACTGCCTTAACTAGGATGGGCATCTTACTATCCCTGATAGACAATTTCTGTCTGAATATACCTTATGTTCGTCTGAATGTCTTTTACATTTGTCTGTCGTCCCATAATATAATTTTATTTGTTTTATCATTTGTCCGAATTTTAATGCAGGTTATCACGAAAAAAAAAAAAAAAAAAACTCAGTTTGCGCTGATTTCTTTTTTTTTCTCTGCCTTTTGTCTGACACCAGCGTTTACTTATCGAAATTTGAAGTCATAAGGAATGAATCAAGAGCAAAATGAACTCAATGGTTATGGAGTGGAAGGCACTATCCCACCCGAAACGTAATAAAACACTTTTTCTTAAACGTTAACTTTTGCGTCTTTTTAACCTTGTTTGATTTCAGTTCGTTAAAACATGCCAAGACAGACCAAGGATTGAACAATGTTGTAGCTGTGTTTGTTGTACAGTTTGATGTGCACAAGGGAAACTTGGTTGAATGGCAATACCCCGAAGGTAAGATTACCTTTCTTTAAATTGCAGTTGCTTACATTCTCAGCAGACTTTGATTTGGAAGGTGTTGAGTATCAAGCTATTTGCAGCGGATTACATCGTATTGAGTCAGACGTGATGTATGTAACTTTCACAAGTTGAATCGTCTTTTTTTAACTCAACAGAAACTTTCTCTAGCTATTTTTCACGAAACGACGTGTACGGAATAAGTGTGTTTCAGAATATGCCTACCGAGACTGAAAGAGGGGCCCATATGAAGGCTATTGGAATCATTGTACAACCCACACTCAATACAGGAATCTGTGGTCAGGTATGGACTCACAAAAAGTTTCTGAAAAAAGAGTTAAGGTAGACCAAAGAAGAAAAGATATATGGGTCTGAGCTCAGTACCTTTTTTTTTAACTCATATGCTATAACCATAGTCATCACATGGTGGTTTCTGAAAGCATCGAGTCTAGTCGATATGAAAGACTACTAGAATATTATACCCATCATCAATACCGAGAGGAGCAACAGGAAGAGAGAGAGCAATCACCAAATTTTTATTTTCCCGAGTCTAATAATCATCATAGTGTCAATTACAATTTGAAGCATAACGTGGCAAAAGGCATGTTTAGACACGACGAATTTGGTGCCGACTCATTCTCTGATTTTGTACACAGATTCGGTCCAGATATTTTTGTATTGTGGAAGGCAGCCTTGCTGAGAAAAAGAATCATGTTAATTAATATGCCGCCTATGGAGACGGCCTGTGAATATGTCTACAATATCCATCTTCTGGGTAAAGTGCCAACGCAATTTCAAAACAGAAGAAGTGATCTTGTACCTAAATTTACTGTTGGTGTAAATGATATTCCTCAATTAGAGAAAAAGAATCAAAGTTACGTTGCATGTAAAGTAGCTTTACAAAAAAATTAATAGTCATACGCTAGCTAACTTAAACTGAGTTAGGCACACCTGACTCAATATTTCAAATTAAAACCGAACTATATGACTTATTAATTACACTTCCAACTCCATCATTTCATCATCCTATTAAAGGAAGCAGCAACTCTCATCAGGCGATTCCATTGTCCGAGATTAGTAGTAATCAGCCTCGTTTCAAATCTAGTGTGATGTCAACAACGCACAATCCAGCCGATTTTACACGGTTTCGTATCATGTGGAAACAATTAATGTCAAGCTCTTCCACATCATGGGCTGAATATGTAGCGGCTGAGCCAAAAGACATTGTCCATACTGCCGCTGCTTTGGTGACGGGTGTGTATTATTGGCTGTACCAAGAGCCACACGAATCCTCTCCCTCCCGTTTTTACTCTTCTTGGCAGAATTTGTTTGCTGGTAATACTCGTCGTGATAGCAACAACCAGTTGCCGATATTTTTAAATCAAACGTCGACTGCCGACGAAAGCCAAAACTTATTGCTGGACGAAGATGAAGAAGATGCCACCGAAATCAATAACAGCGAAGTGTTTAGTGTAGTAGCTGCCAGAGCTTCCAGTGAAATGTATCAAAGTCAAGAGATCGACGTTCTTGTGAAGGAAGACAATGAAATTTTGTTGGGGTAAATAATAATCATACTAGACAAATGACAACCATCATTTATTGAACATTCATTTCATGTAGATTCTTTCATTCTCTAACGTACTATCTATTATCGACCTTGCAGACAATATTATCTGTCAATGAAGAGGAAGGGTGTGAGATCATACACTTGTATCCAAAAGATGTTGTTCAGCTAGGTCTAGATCCACAGACCGATGTTGAGTTTATAACCGAACTTGCGAAATTGTATTTTAGAAGACGGATTATTGTAAGTGGCATTCATAATCCTCAAGCTTGCATGACTTTATGCTGTTGTCGTCAAATAAATAAGAGGAATAGCAATGGTGCAATTCGTATTTAATAAATAATAAAAAAGAATAAGAAATTACTGTTAGGATGCAAATTTTCTACAACGCCACAATGCAATTGCTAAATCCACAGTATCTAATTTCCTTGGTACCCCTAAAGCAACCACTGTATCATCTTCAGGTAAATGAATGGATTCAATATCTCGTTTATCCCATATCCGTTGTATGTGATAGCAAGGAACATGCGGATGGGTCCCATCCAAAGATTCAATCTGATGGTCCAATTCACACAATGTTTCGGACGTACTGAAAGATAAAATACATTGATACCCCATGGGTGATGTTGAATTCGCTTTCCACTGCGATGCCGATTTTGCTGTCAGAATATGAAATGTGTTTGAGGGGCGTTTTGCAAATTGAGCAAATGATTCCTTATGTAAGAGACTTTCAACGTGGTTTTGCATATCGTTTCTGTACGTGGCTGAACCTCGAAATGCTGCTCGGTAACTTCCCTTCCCAAATATCTCTAGCACTTTTCTCGAAAGATTGACGTACACTCCTTTTCCACCGGACTTCTTAAAGGTGGGGAAAGCCCAAAATAATTTTGTAGGTTGATGCCAACCTTTTTCAAAACGGATCATGAGTTCTACAAACAAAAACAAAAAAAGACGTGAGTATACAACCGACCATGGAGACTTTAATAATATACCATTAGGAAACTGGCGAAAATGAAAAGTGCATAGTCGTAAAGGCGAAGCTAATATTTTAGCTGTAAACAAAAAGGTTAATTTAACTGAAAATAATATATTTTCGTAAAAAAAAAGAATATACAGACCATGCGCATGGACTGCTAGTTTTGCTTCCAAGGAACTGGGAGAATCCTCCACAATTTGTAGTAATTGAGAAGGCTTAGGTCTTTCGTGTAAAGATTTGATGGGTTTGCGCCATTGTTTGATAATGTCTGATATTGTTCTTTTTGACATGCGTTAAAAGTATTACAAGCTGAGAGAGAACGTCACTATTTTTATTATTTTCCTGTTAAAACCCAACTTTTTTTTTTTCACTAAATATTTTGGGGTTCACTTCTCTTCTTGTATTAATCATGTTGGATTCAGAAGAAGAAAAAAGACGATTTACCATTGAATTGGAATTTATTCAATGCTTATCCAATCCCTGGTACCTCAATCGTGTGTATAGGCTTTCATTAACCTTTGCTACTTTAGTCTTACTGTATAAAACTAGATCTAGCACAACAGCAGTATTTTAAAGATCAGGCTTTTATCAATTACTTGGATTATTTACAATACTGGAAACAGCCAGAATATGCCAAATTTGTAGTGTAAATGGGATTTTTTTTTTACAGTTGTTTTGAAATGAGAGTATTAAAAAGTGATCAAAAATATAGATATCCACACGCGCTGTACTTTTTAGATTTGTTACAGCACCAGCAGTTCAGGGACTACGTCAGCACCTCTGAAAACACACAAGAGGTGCATCGTATGCAATATTACCACTGGCAATTTTTAAGGAACCCACCCAGCACAGCAACCGACGAATTTTCTGCATTAAAAAACGAAGTCGATAAATAAATATTCTATTTTTGCAGCATGAATTATTTATTTGTGATAAGAATTCGATACAAAAAAAGTTTAAAAAAGTGAGAGGGACAAAAAAAAGTTAAAATGTAAAAAAAAAGGGTGTATGTTTTGTTTAAAAAAAAAAAAGAAAAAGAAAAAGATATAAAAAAAAATGGGAGAGGGATTAATGGTCGATAGTTAATAGGTTCGAGGAAAGACAGGTGGATGAAGCCAAGGCGCCTTTAACCCTACTACGATTGATTACCATGGCAGCACTACGTGCCTGCTTTTTCTTATCCTTCACTGCAAAACGTGCCTTTGCCCTTCTTTCCTGTCTTGACAAACCTTTAACAACAGGGTCCGTTACTGCTGTGGTGGATGCGGAGGACGAGGATTCAATGGGCTCTGGTGTTGGCACTTCATTATGTTTGTCATTACTTATTGGTTGTCGTCTCTTGATGGATGGAGTGATAACCTCCACCCAGTCTCCTTCTCCGTCAGCTGCTTCATATTGATCATTAAAAGGTTCCTGAGACTGTACTTGCTGTTGTTGATACCAAGAGGATAACCAAAGGGGGAGCATGGACTTGTTTTATGTAGTAAAGAGTTGAAAAAAAAAAAAAAAATAGAGTCGAAAATAAAAAGATTTAAGCGAGGGTGCTGTTTGTTTAAAAGATGTTGGCGACTACGAACAACGAAGACGACAACAAAGGAAAAAGAAAAAGCAAAAGAAAGGGAGACTAGTAAAATTCATTAAATAGTACAGCATAATTTCCTTTCATGTAACGTGATAGGATCATGATGTAAATTATTATTTAAATAAAGATCATTGGTAACAGAAATGAATGGTGTATAACCAAGGTCCCGCGTTATCGTCAGTTGATAAGGATATTACTATAGTTATTCTCACACATCATTATAAAAGGTCTATATCATTTTCCCCTGTTATAACATATTGTAATTTTGACGATTAGTCTCTCTCTCTCGAACCTTGTTTTTTTTTTATAATCATTAGTTATGTACGTAGTAACACCGTCATGCATTGAAAGGGCTGGTTGGAAACGATATTTTCCCTTTCTTTATCCCTATTTGCCAAACTTCTGAGAATAGTAAACATATATACGCGTACACTTTCTTTCCATGGTATACTTTCGCGATAAAACACAATATATTCTGGAAAACCACAACAAGGGAAGCATACTTTATCTAGCGTTAGCTGCATGTATACATCATGCCCTTTTCTTTATTTTCTCCAATATACAATTACGTAATGATTATTACTGCATGATACGTTTTTTAATATTGTAATAATCAAATGACCGTGAACTAGCCTGAATGACTCATAAAATGTGTATTGACTCTTTTCAAAGTAACTCTGGAAGGTGATGCCTAAATTTGATATGACCAGTTAAATTTTTATGTTTTTGTGAGATAACTGTTATGCAATTTACTTTTTCCCAATTAGATATGATTCGAACTAGTTGATGTTGGACAGTCTTCTTATCCACTACGTATTTTAAAATTAAGGTTGATTGTTTTGAAATAAAGAAACTTAAAGCACTTTTTTTTTTATACCTCGTGGTTTAGCTGATGTCAACAATTGGCCATTTAAATCATAATAATGAATTAATATGGATGTTAAAATACCTACGGAATAGTCTTTGCCTAACAAGAATTTATATGAGTGGAAATTTTTTCATACGTGAATGCATTTCGTTACCTGTGGAACAATGTACAAGGATTCGTTTATTTTCCATTATCGGATCATGCACAAATTCAATTGCCTTTTGTATACTAGCCCCAAAAATGATCTGACCTTTCTTCCCGTCGGGTATGGGCAAATGAAGATACTTGCTACTGTCCATGCCTTCATATTCAAGCACGGAACAATTTATAATATAATCAAAGTTTTCCCAGCAATAAGGCGGCTTACCACTGGCGTAATTTCCAATGCCTAGCATCGTCGGTTGAACCATCGCAAAATTCTTTCCATCCGCTTCGCCTTCTTCCATTAATGCATCCTTATTTGCCGCCACAATACATTTGACCTTTTCCTCACATTCTGCTTGGTTTGACAAAATATCTAGATGATTCTTCCAAAACATGATATGCGTCAACCCCTAAGAAAAAAAAAAAAAAAGAGGTAAATATTGGATTTACAGCAAACATTTATCGTTTCTCCAAGGGCTTACCAAAGCCCAGGCTTCCTGATCATCTCCTGAACCTTGAACATATAAATAGCCAGGTCTTGACTGGCACCCGGTTTCAACAGCTTCTGACGCACTCAAACAAACCACAGGACAAAAAGGTGCATCATCAAAATCCGGTGGTGACTCCACAACAGCGTCATATGATTGAGGTGTAAACCAAATAGGTCTTAAAGGTTTGACTAATCCGTTTGAAACAACCTCCATATCGATGCCAGAATCCAGTAGTCGCTGCACAAATCCGTCTAATTTGGCTTCGATTTGTGCATGTTCGGATCTCGAGACCGCAGTGGGGAGTGAATGAAAGGCCATATCCCAATCCTTTTCATCCTGCTTTATACCTTGAGAAAGACGGTGTCTATGGACCGCCCGGTTAATGGTGCAGCACCAGATAGGGATGGTTTTGGATAATGCGTCAGGGATACGCTTTCCTTTTCGAGTCGAGTCAACAATCATACATCCCCCGTGTTCTAGTATGATTGGGAGTAAATGAAGATTGTTTCTACGGATATTGAAGTCCCAGATATGCATGTGTCCATCAGTCGATTTGAAATATCCTGAATAGGCTTTTTTCTACTTTTTTGCTGGTAAGTTTTTTTTTTTTTCTTTTTCTCAAAGTGATCATTACTTTGGTTCTGTCAATATACCACGATCCACAACGTTCGTTGGCTAAACAGAGAGTGTATCAATATGGCTTAGACATTGAGGAAAGAAAAAAGGCTTATACTTACCAACAAGTGCTAGTTTAGGCATCAGTTCTGTCATTTCCATGACAAACGAAGCATCGTCAACGATCGATCTGAGACGATTATAACTTTTTTTTTTATTATTATTTTTATATTAATGGGGGGTGTTCTTGACCTTTATACTCTGAAGGGATGTTTTATTTTTACATATTTTTACTATCGTTTCTAATCAACTTGGAATCAAGATTGAATTCCGTGTTTCCAAAGCAGAATTCATCGTCCATATTACTTGCGAAAAAGAAAGAAAGAGAAAAAAAAAAATTCGGGAGGTAAAATAAAAAAACAAAGAATTATACTAATCTGGGTCTCTTTGGTGAGAAGCTTGGAGTGATCGATTGCTTTCTTTTACGAAGAGAATATTCATCATCGTCTTTGGCGAATCCTTGGATATTATTTTCCAAGATGAGGATCGTATTATAAAGAAGATGAATAATGGGTTTGATTTTCACAACGAATTCAGTCAACGATTCCGGGAAATAAAGTCTAGCACTTTCCTTGACTAAAGTAATAGATCCATGTGTGCATTCTTGATATATTCCGCACATTGAGAATCCTATCAGTAAACCTGTTGTTAGAACTAGGGCTAGTTATGAATTAAGAACTCTCTTGACATTACCCTGGATGATGAATCCTATTGTTTTAATTGTTTCGCGACTTTGAGGATACTTATCCACTGCCTCGGATAAGAAGTCTTTTAGCACCTTTGGTATTCTAAGATATCTTGCATCAAGATATTTTGATTCATAGATGTCTCTCTCCTGTTGGAAATTGGCTTCGGCATACAACATACTCAACGAGTTATATTTCAATGTTAAATTGATCGTTTCGTCATCAGACTCGCGATTAAAAATTCCTTTGACAGATGATCCTGCTACCGTATACTTGATTTTTTCAATAAATCCGAAAACGGTATCTAACAGATCCCCCACATTTGAAAAGTCTGATATGGACATAGTGGGAGAGTTAGTGAATAATCGCAATGCATTCATCAATGTTTCTTTAACCCAGTATAATGCGGGTGATTTGTGAGGATGCACCTTGATACTAGAGATGGCAACATATAAGCTATCAAAAGTAGTCTATACATGATTTTTAACACTTTTGTCAGACTTTTTTTTAATAGTTTGAAAAACTTACTTTTCCTTTCAAGAGTTGAAAAACACTGTGCAAAGGTACATCCGCCTTCTCAAGAAATGCATTAGGTTTCATATTCTCAATATCTTTTTCGTCGTTAGCTGTAAAGGCAGCTATATCATCCCAAAGATCATCTTCTATATCAAAGATAAACGAATGTACAGCACTGTAAAAAAATAAAATGAGGATGTGTGAATAAAAGAAAAGCAATACTATCGGACATGTCATCATCTTACTGTTCAAGAGGAATATTTTCTGCAGCAAACTCCATCACTTCTTCAACTACAGTGCCTGACTTGAGCACAATTCTGTTCTTTTTACAATGCTGTTTGTATCTTTTTTTAATCTTGGCTAAATCCTCATAATCAACAGTAGCTTGGGTTGTGCCAAGTACCACGTTTCTCATCTTGTTGAAGGCGGTGAATGCTGCTTTGTTTTGCGACCTGTTCGAGTTTAGTATTTCGTCAACCATAGGATTGTCTTCTGGAAGGTTACATGGACTTTTATCCCTTGTTAAAGCAGTTGCTTCGACGCACACAGAAGGTGCAACAGCAAGCACAGAAGATGTATCAGCAGGCACGGAAGGTGTATCAGCAAGCACAGAAGGTGTATCAGCAGGCACGGAAGGTGTATCAGCAAGCACAGAATTGTTTTCTGTTGGATCAGACCAATCTTCCACTGTGGTCTTCCAAGGGTTCATCTCAACCGGTACGCTTTTTTTGAACGTTTTATCGGTAGAGATAGAATTATTTTCTGCGGGATTTTGGGGTAATGAATCCATCGTTTTATCAGGCATGAAAGAATTGATTTCGGAAGAACTTAATACAGGATGACTTTCTAGAACAGGGTTCGATGCACTTTTGAGTGTGGTCGATTGATCTTTAGAGTGGATGTCTCTGGAAGATTTATTCGCATATACAAAAATGTCCTTCATAGGCTCAAATACAGTGTGCCGATATACGGGATAGGCATCTTGACTTTCAGACGCATGTCTTCTTAGTCCGCTCAAAGTAGCGTTTTTTTGAAACGGCGAAATTGAATCATCATAGGCTGGCCTACTATTTGATTTGGAAAGCAATGATTTGCTCTTGATGGATCCATCGGTACACGATGGTGGGTCGGGCGATACATCGGCACGTATTCGGCTCGTTTTTGCAGCATTTATTTCAAAAGTCGCTGATACATCCTCATTCGTGTCATTTTCTTCTATACCAGGCGTAGGCAGACTTCCCACAACGGGATATTGGTTATATGAGGTATCTAACATGGGCAAACGTTGTGTTCCATCATCGAGAGAACTGTCATTGACATGCGTCGAAGAGAGGTTATCTGATGCGTCCCGTAAATGGATCAGGTCGGGATGATGGTCTTTGTATGTGATCCAAATAGCTCGACTTTCAGTGGTGGGCTTTGAGCTGATGGATTCCTTTGGAAGGGTTGGTTTCACCGTGCTTTCGGTTGGTTTAGGTGCAAGGTCTTGAGGTTTCTGGACTTTCTCGGTTACGCTTGTGTCAATGGGATTTTTAGTTGTTACAGGAGGTAATGGTGCACCCAGTGAGGGAGGGTTCTCCTTGAGATTTTTAGACGCATCGTTGGTTTGTTTCTGTAACTCCAGTCGTTGAGAATTTTGAATACTGAAAATCTTCAAAAGCAATTCAGTAATAGCCGGACATCTTGCTATTGCTGGAGGTGCTCCATTTTCTTGTGTTGAAGTTTTAGATGATGCTAGCGTGTGTGGTCCCTTTTTTGTTGTGGAAGAAGAGGATGCCTTGGGAGGTATATTTACATTTTTCGAGGTGGAAGATGATGCTGCATGAGATGGGGACTTGTCAAACGATCCAGTAGGTGCCATTTTTGGGACTGGGTGCCTATTATAAAACACTTTTTTTTAGAACGTAATGTTATGAACTGTTCATTACTATTACTATACGTTGATGATGCTTGTATTTTGCTTACAGCTCCTGGTACTTGTGTGGGAGCAGACTTTGCTTTTGCAGGTGATTGTTGTTGGGTTCGTATAGAACGAGGTATTTGGATGGGAGATGGTATAAAGAGAGGTCCTCCTTCGGATGCTCTGTTGGAATTAAAGGAATCACCTGTGTTTACTGGACCGCTTAAGCTTCCCTTATATAATTTACCACCGGAACCATCCAATTCCGTAGTTTGCTGATGCGCAATGGGGGGTTGGGATAGCATCGGTTTGGAAACATAAACTCTTTGTATATCCATCTCTTCATCATCGAAATCTTCAGCAGGAACAACGATAGGTTTATTTTTCTTTACGTTTTCAATTGACAATACATCGTCCCAAGAAGGCATATCCCTTTTAAATCTCTATATATTTTGACGTATTTAGAAAGAAGAAGAAAAAAAAACACGTTGTTCACTATTGATGTGTTTACCCTTCCTATCTTCATAGCATTTCTTTCGACTCTGTTTGACCAAGTCATTTTCTGTGACTCCTTCGGTGAAGTAAAACTCCTAAAAGTATCCTTGTCATATTCAAAGAGACCTCTCACGCTTACAGCTTCATGAGGTCTTGTTGCCTTCATGTACCGTAAGACAACTGAAAAAAAAAAAAAAAAAAAAATGTCAGAAATGACTCTCTCTTATTTTCACTTAAAGTACCTACATTGTCGCATTGCTAATATCTCAGAATGAGAGGGACTCGTTTTATTTCGAGGCATGTTTTAAATACGTGTATATGATAAACATAAAGGAAGAGAAAAAGTTGCCACACGCGATTTTTTATTTTTTATTTTTATTTGCAGCCAACCTTTTTTTTTTTTTTTTTTTTTTTTTTTTTTGTCTCTTGTCAAGATGCATCCAAGAAGCGTTTTTAATAAGGAACCTGATTTTAATCGACTGGCAGAAAAATATGAATCGTTTGAAAAATTGTAATGTCATACTTTATTGCACTTTTTTTTTCCCGCTTATTAACCTGAAGCAGTGTAAAGGTCGGAAACAACAAAAGGGCTTACATTGATTTCAAAGATCCTGAAGCAGTAAAGTAAGTTGATCTGCTATTTTTTTTTTCTTTTAAAAAACAAGTCCACTAAGCAATCCTATTTTCAGGCAATTGACTGTATGTCTTTTAAAAGATCAGTTTGACATTGACATTGATTTCCCTTTGGATTCACTTTGTCCTGCAGTCCCCAACAGACTCAACTACATTCTTTGGCTGCAAGATTTGATAGACGATACACTGACCGATGCAAAAGACATTATTGGTATCGACATGTAAAAAAAAAAGAATTATCAGTTTATAGAGAGAGAGAGAGTATACTCATATGACCCTATTTTTTCTTAGTGGAGTGGGTGCATCCTGTATTTATCCATTATTAGGGTGTGCAACAGATTTAAACTGGCGATTTCTAGGTACCGACATTGATCTCAGATCGATTGATTATGCAAAAGAAAACGTCAAGCGAAATCATTTGGAAGACAGAATTACAATTCAACATACCGCCGATCCTAGTAAAATTTTCTTACTGGAAGATACAGTACCCGTGTATACATTTAGTATGTGCAATCCTCCATTCTATAGCAGTCAGGAAGAATTGGATGAAGGTTTAGATAATAAGGAACTGGAACCATCCGCCGTAAGTTTTTCTCTCTCTCTCTCTCTCTTGCTTATACAACGGAATTCTAACGCCAGATTGCCCCCCCAGGTTTGTAATGGATCCAATGGAGAGATGATTACAGAAGGAGGTGAATACGGATTTATCTCGAGAATGATTGAAGAAAGCTTAATACTGCAAAAAAGGGTGATATGGTATACAAGTATGATGGGATTAAAAAGGACGATTCGACCGCTTGTCCGATTATTAAAAGAATCAGGCATCTCCAATTATGTCGTAACAAACTTCACACAGGGAAACACCACACGTTGGGCAATTGCCTGGTCGTTTTATGATAATCGCCCGACCCATATTAAAATGCTTGAATCTTGGTTGCCCAAATACTCTTTTGAAGTAGAGTTGCCTCAAAACACAGATGTCGTACATTCGTTTTTAAAACCTATCTTGGACGATTTAGATATTGGACATGTTGTATCAGGAGATGAAGACGGTGAAATTATTTTGGATTGTACTGTCGATAAAAATACATGGTCTAGAGCTGCACGAAGACAAAGGAAACGACAGAAATTAGAATCACAAGAGGAGGAGAAATCAGAAAATCCCTTTCAATTTAAGCTTGAATTATCATCCAGTCGATCACCATCCCTGTCCTATTTACAAATTATTTGGTTGAAAGGTGGTGATAGACCCATGTTCGAAGGATTTTGGTCTCATCTAAAGAAACGTATCGAAGAAAATTGCGGTATCTATAGAGGAAGTACTTTTTCAAAATAAAAAAAAAAAAGAGTAAATTTTATTGAAGTTTAATGCAATCTGCTTGAAATGAATCTCCAGCCCATCGAGCTACCTGTTTCATCACCTCAATCTTTTTTTGGGTAGCATCTTCATAGCGTAATTCATATAGAGTACACATATTCATGATGACAGTTTCGCAAGTACCTGCCGAAGTAGGATTATCAGCTGTCAAGGTCTCTAGGATATCAATGGATTTGACTAGGTTGCCCAAATAGACTTCACATACAGCCAAGTTATTCATGGCCAACAAATTCTCGTGATTGGCCGTATAGACCTCTTGTAAAATTTCTCTTGCTTGAAGCCATTCACCTTTAGCCATGAGGACAAATGCCTTATTTGTTTTGATGGCCTCTTCGGTTGCTGTATCGCTATCACCATACTTTTCTTCCATTTGCTTAAATACTCCTTTGGCAGACTCTAGATCCCCCATTTGAAGATAAAGTCTTCCTAGACTGGATAAAATATCGATATGATCCCCTACTTTGGACAAGATTAACTTCATGGTGGAAGCTGCAGCAGAATAATCCTTGATGCTAATCCAAATCGTAGCCAATACCAGATACGTCTGAATTTCTCGTCGCTTCCAATTTCGCTTCTTACAATAAACTGCCAACATGGTGATTCTTTCTAACGCAATAGCAGGATATTTCAGAAAAGATGGGAGCGTTCCCCATAAAATCCTTAATTCAAACGGGACCAATGATTCGTCTGTTCTCAAATCTCTTAATTCAGGTCGATCCAAGTCTCCTAGCTTTTCAAACTCGGCTGAAGCTAACTGACAAAGTCCTAACTTTGTAAGTGCCAGTAACCTCATGTGCCAAAGCTATAATTTTATGTCAGCGTCACTGAGCTGCAAAAGGCAGGGCCTTTCTTTTTTTTTTTTTTTTTTTTTTACCTTGAGAATCGCTTCCACTTGAGAAGGGTCTGATTGTACAATTTGTTGTCGTGCGTATTTTGCAATGGATCTCCACATGTTATTCATCTAACTAAAAGGGTCAATCCATGTCTCTCCCCCCTTTTTTTTCCTTTTGAATCAGTCAGTACTTACCACCATGGCTTCAGGCCCTTTTGCTTTATCTGAAGTTTCGTCACGTTGTGGTCTTTCTTGAGGTGGAACATAACGTTCTATTAAATCATTGAAGGCATCGCTCTATACAATTACAAAAGTAGGATTTGCCTTTAGGCCTGGTTTATGAAAGGTAAAAGGAAGGGGGGTGGGGGGACACTTACGACAGGAATGTCATAAAAGTTGGCATTACTGTTGAGTGAATAACCAATGGACAAAGTACGTTGTCGTTGTTGTTGTTTCGTATGAGATGAAGAGGATCTAGCTGGTTTGGCTGGTGGTTCCTCTAGTGTGGGTAATACCACAGATTGTAATATGTTTGAAGCGTCCGTGTCCATGTAAACAGTGATAGAGTCCGGCTGGGTGTCGATTATATAAAAAAGAAGTAAAAAGATATGATTGTCGGTTAATAAAAAAATAAATTTGTATGCAAAAGCGGATTGCATTGGTTATGACTGGTTAAAAAAAAAAAAAAACTAATCAAAGTGAAGTATTCACAACCTCCACAATTGTAGAGGTGGACCCTTGGCACTGAATCAACCTATTTTTCTCATCCCTGACACGTCTCTAACCTATTCTCCCTCGTTTACTGACAAAATAGACAATTTGGACTTGTCGTTGCGATGCGTTTTGTATGGTCTATTTGATCTAGTAGCGCACCCACCCTGATAGCTTCGTTAGCGTTAACTCCCTCGAAATTGTTAATGCCTTGTAGATATCCATGGGTAAAATAACAATCACAATTAGAGGAAGTATATGATATTCCAAGATAGTCATGACATCCTACTACTTATAAGAAAAATATGCATATAATTATTACGCTTTCCTTAGTGACAGCCAAATTTTCCTTAGGGACAGCCAAAGTGCACGTAGTCGCAACGCAAGATCTCTGATTTGGATGTTCTGTAGACCTGGGAACAAGGATATACAATCAAAAACAATGTAACAATTACGAATAAATGTATATTAAACAATTTATACTTATTTTGACAATTCTATTATCACTCTTTCGCCTTTGAGCTCGTTTGATCTTAATCTTACGCAGAAATATTAAGGTAAAGTCCAAACGAGAAGCTGAAAGTAAGCTGTAAAACACATATACTGGTTTAAACTATGTTGTTTGTGATAAATGTGTATATATTTCAAGTTTTTAAGTTATATTGACCTCTTGACGTCTATAAAAGTATCATAATCTCAACATTACGATTACGCGCACCCTGGCTGTCCCTAAGAAAAATGGCTGTCCCTAAGAAAATCTGGCTTTCCCTAAGAGACCCGTAATTATTATATTGCCAACGATTAATTTCCTACATAGATTTGTAAATAAACATCCATCTTAAATTACTTGTCTTAATAAACATCCTGTAAACCTCGTATTGCATTGAGTATGAGATGTTTTATCAGTAAAATTATTAAATTTGCACTTTCTTGAGACATTTAGCGCAATAAAGACACTCATATAGATCACATTTTTATGAATTTTTGATGTTAGAACAAAGTTAAAGATATATTATCCCGGAAAGACTGATAGGGTTTAACCGGTCCAACTGGTTCCTTTCTTATTCTCTTATCTGACATGCAGTTACACAACCAAAATGCTTTGCACTATTAAATACTACAAATGCATGCAAATGATATATGAAAAAGTAACAAGTCCAGCTGTATAAAAAGTGGATTATTGTGATACAGATCATTTGCGAACCAAAAAGGCAAAAAATCCGTACATTTTATATCTATTTTCAGTCTTCATTGTAAGACTCTATGAACGCTACAAAGATTGAATAAAAGTCTTTTGACAATTGCATTTTTTTTTTTTTTTTTTTTTTGGTAACCGACAATATCAACCAGCCGATTTGTATCAAGAGATCTTTAGATGGTCTTGTATCTGCATAAATAAAAACAACTCCACGCGGGCTTTGTGCACTAATTACATATAACATTTGCTGAGATAACGAAAATACTTTTGTGCTTATAAGGTCATATTTTATTATCACGAAACTAAATTATAAAATGTATACTAAATGAAAAAGGGAAGGGGGGGTTATTTATATAATTTTTTGCAGTTGTATGTAATGTTGTTGTGGGGGTTATTTTTTTTTTTTTTTTTCGGGAGAGTAGTTAGCAGAAAGTGTTTTACTCTTCCATAATTTCCTCATCCTCCATTTCATCTTCTCCGTACTCTTCTTCATATTCCTCATCAACAGTGGCTTCTTGGTATTGTTGGTATTCAGAGACCAAATCGTTCATGTTGGACTCAGCCTCAGTGAACTCCATCTCATCCATACCTTCACCAGTGTACCAATGCAAGAAAGCCTTTCTTCTGAACATTGCAGTGAATTGTTCGTTGACACGCTTGAACAAATCTTGGATAGCAGTACTGTTACCAATGAATGTACCAGACATCTTGAGTCCAACGGGAGGAATATCACAAAGAGAAGTCTTGACACTGTTGGGAATCCATTCAACAAAGTAAGAAGAGTTCTTTTGTTGAACAGCCAACATTTGGTTCTCAACTTCCTTGGTGGAGAGACGACCACGGAAAATAGTGGCAGCAGTCAAGTAACGACCGTGACGAGGATCAGAGGCAGCCATCATGTTCTTGGCATCAAACATTTGGGCAGTTAACTCAGGAACACTCAAGTTACGGTATTGTTGAGAACCGAAAGCAGTGAGAGGAGCAACACCGACCATGAAGAAATGAAGACGAGGGAAGGGAACCATGTTGACACAGAGCTTACGTAAATCAGAGTTCAATTGACCAGGGAAACGCAAACTGGTGGAGACACCAGACATGACAGCAGAGACAAGTTGGTTCAAATCACCATAACCAGGGTTAGTCAACTTGAGGGTTCTGAAGCAGATATCATAAAGAGCTTCGTTATCGATACAGAAAGTAGCATCACAGTTCTCAACTAATTGATGAACAGAGAGAACAGCGTTATAAGGCTCAACAACGGTATCAGAGACCTTGGGAGAAGGAACGACAGAGTAAGTACTCAAGATACGATCGGGGTATTCTTCACGAATCTTGGAAAGCAAAAGAGAACCAAGACCAGAACCAGTACCACCACCAAGAGAATGAGCAAGTTGGAAACCTTGGAGACAATCTGTGTTTTCGGCTTCCTTACGAACAACATCCATGATAGACTCGACTAATTCTGCACCTTCGGTATAGTAACCCTTGGCCCAAGAGTTACCAGCACCAGATTGAGCATTAACAAAGTTGTCAGGTCTGTAAATCTTACCATAAGGACTACCACGAATACTATCCATGGTGGCAGGTTCAAGATCGACTAATACAGCTCTATTATTTATCATTTAGTTTAGTAATTAAGAAGAAACAACAAAAAACTTTTTTTTTTCTCACCTTGGGACATATTTGCCTTCGGAACCTTCGTTATAAAAGACATTGATACGCTCCAACTGAAGATCGTTATCACCACAATAGTTACCGTTGGTGTCAATACCATGCTCTTGAGAAATAGTTTCCCAGAACTTTTGACCAATCTAGATGATGATGATTGTAAATATTTTATTTTTCCCTTTTTCCTTAAGCGACCCTTTTCTTCTGTTTCAATCTGGTTTATTATTATTTTACCTGATTACCACATTGACCTATAAACAAGATTGTTAGAAAAAAGAAGACTCATCCATCGAGTTTTTGTAGTTACCAGCTTGCAAATGAATAATTTCTCTCATATTTATAAAAATAAACTCTAAAGGGAAAAAAACAAAACAAAAAAGAAAGAAAAAGGTGATATTTTAGTTTATATATTCATATAAAAAAAAAAAAAAAAAAAAAAAAAAAAAAAAACTATTTTTATCCCCCTTACAAAAAGGTGCTCGAGTATACTAAAAGGAAAGAAACCTCGTATTTATTCCAAGGTTCACTCCACCCACATTAACTCAACAGAAAAAAAAAAAAATTAACGCGCAGACGCGTAGATGCACGTCACGATTTATTTTTCAATCTCCGCTCCGTTTTATTTTTATTATTTAATAAGGACGATAATGTTGTTGATTTCTTGTTTGAGAAGCATGGACAGCACCTCCAGCACGATCTTTTGAATCCCTTCTCTTTTCACGTGTATCATCCTCAGGATAGCCTTGTTGACGCATATAGTTTTGATTATAACCTCGATGTTGTTGATGATGTCCGCTATTTCCGTTATAGTAAGCAGCAGCAGCGGCGGCGGCGGCTGCAGCTGCTGCCATGTTATTATAAGGGGTTCCACCGTACATACCCCCACCACCATTACCATTAGCACCTCCTCCACTATTATTATACATATAATTGTTACGGTTCATCATTCCAAAATTGGCTGCTCCGGCATATCGATTGTTGGGCATATAAGGTTGGGGTCTGAAATTGGGATTAAGAACAGGTGTTGCCACAGCCATACGATTTTGTTTATTTTTGGGCATGGCCTTCTTCACTTCAATCTAATGGCAATTGCATAAGCCAAAACATGTATTTTCATTATTTATCCAATGTGAATTACTTACTGTCTTATCCTTGATGGACAGGTTGGGGTTCTTTAGAGCCTCTTCTACACCATTACTACTCTCGAATGTTACAAACCCAAACCCACGTGGTCTTCCTGTGTCACGTTCCATCATTAAAGTAGCATCAATTACGGTTCCAAATTGTGTAAAGAATTCACGAAACTCTTCTTCATTTACCTCTGGAGAAATGCCACCCACAAAAATCTTTTCTGTCTTATCCTGTTCATCTCTTGGAATAGCTCTTTTAGGGTCAATCTATAATAATAATAAAAAAAAAATTGGTTGATTAAAAAAAGTGAAAAAAAAGAAAAAAAAAAAACCTTACCCTTTTTCCGTCCAAATGATGATCAGCTTGACTAACAATTTTATCGATATCTGAATTTTCTTTCATTGTCAAGAAACCGAAACCACGTGAGCGTTGTGTTGCTGGATCGCGCATAACAGTACAATCAAGAACTTCACCAAATTGAGAAAAGTATTGACGTAATGAATCTTTTGTTTTTTTTAATTTTTTTTTTTTTTTAATTATGATGAAAAAAAAAAAAAAAGTTTTTAATTAAATTATATCTTTATACTATTAGAATAACAAACTATTTCTTTCATCCTTTTCTCCCTATGTCTTTGCTTTCCCGTGTATTTTTTTTTTTATATGTATAAAAGCTTACCATCGGTAGTTTCCCAATTAAGACCTCCGATAAACATCTTTCTATTATACCCAAATTTATTGTATTTACATATTAACAAAATGTTTGTACTCTCTCTTTTTTCTTTTTTAAAATAAAAAACGACTGTATAATAACTATCTATCGCTAAACGAAATAAAAAGAAAAAAAAAAAAAAAAAAAAAAAGAACAACGAAAAGAAACTTACCCTTCATCTTGATTGGAAGCACTTGTCACAGACGTTTCCTCACCATCCTCATTATGTCCCTTCTTTACTGACGTCTCTTGCCTGTTGTTATAATGTTGAGGCTGTCTCATCTGTCTCTGAATCATTTGTTGCATTTGATATGGATTCATGGCCATCTGTTGTTGTAAGCTTCGTTGGTATGCAGCCATATATTGTTGATATTGATTCTGTTGCTGTTGTTGCTGATATCCCCAATTCTGCTGCTGTTGTTGTTGTTGTTGTTGTTGTTGTTGCTGTTGCTGTTGCTGTTGATACCCGTTTTGATGAGAGGAAGTCTCCGTCAAGGTAGGCGTAGTAGGTTCCGGGACAGTGGATTCCTCTACAGTCTCCTCTTCTTTCACTTCTTCCTCCTTCACATCAACCACGGGGTCTTCGCCGTATAAATCTTCATCATTGTACGAATCTTCTTGTCCTCCTCCATTGTACACATTATACAAATCATCATCGAAATCGTCAGACATATTCTTTTCTTTTTTTTTTGGTTTTTAGATTGTGAAGAACAAAAAAAAAAAAAGAAAGAGAAAATGGAAATTTAAAAAATTTCATTTTTTTTTTTTTTTTAGAAAAAAATATTGTGATATTGGCGCACCCTCTCCGCTTGAAAGTAAATGCGTGACATCATTTGCTTCCGTTAAAAAAAATTTAATCTTGTCGTCTGCACAAGCACGTGGGTCAAATAAAAAAAAAAGGGTTTTAATTGTTTTATTTAAATAGTATACTTTTATTCTCGTGTTTTACATTACTATGGTTACGCTTTCAAGGTCAAAAAATCACAAAGTATAAAGCTAAAAAATACCAACCAATCAGAAGCTTTACATGTGATTATCACGTGACTTTTAATTGTTACTACGTTTTATATATACTTTTTAAATTTTTTTCTGACATGAACAGCTTCCGTGGCGCAATTGGCTAGCGCGTCTGACTGTTAATCAGGAGGTTGGTGGTTCAAGCCCACCCGGGAGCGATTCATTTTTTTTGCTTATGTTCGGTTGATGTTACACGAATTATTTTGTTGTTTCCCTCTCTATTCTTTTATTGACAAAATGCGTGTATAGATTTTCAGGGGGTGCGATTACTTTTTTTAGAAATATGTGTGAAAGGATGAGAAGAAACGTGATGATGGGTTCATTGTCAATTTATTTATTTTTTTTTAAAAAAAAAAAAAAAGGTAAAATAGAACAAAGTTTTGTTATAAATCGAACATTTGTAACTTGAAGTTTTTTTTTTCGTTGGCAACCAAAAGTGAATTTAAATTTGTGTTGAAATACAACAACATCCAAAAAAAAAAAAAAAATCTTACTGTGTACAATGAAATTTTAGTCTTGCATATTAGATAAAAAAGCACAAAGGTAACCTATAAATAATGATACCCATTTAATGAAAAATAAAAAGACTTGGCTTCACCCCCTTCTCTTTTTCTTTTCTTTTCTTTTCTAACAACTGACTCATCAGAATGCTTTCTATTGCCTTGTTTTTCATTGCAAGATATCTACTCGACCGTTATGCCAAAATGGACTTGTTTGATGTTCCAGAAGGTAATGGAGAGTGCATTCCTAAACATGCGTATGCTTTTAAATGTGGTGTTGTTTCATCCCGACTCTGTCAATTTATCTCAAAAACTGTCAAAGAACTTGACTTGTACTTTAAAACTGTGGCCGATACGCATTCATCTGCCAAGACCTTAAGTAGGCGTGAATTGGATGAAATGGAAAGCAAAGTGCAACATACATTAGACAAGGTGTTTTCTATTGCAAGATTATACGCGGATGATTGTGATCAACATGCCAAAGATAACAAGATATTACTGAATCAAGCAGTAACAGACTGTCTGCAGCAAAATATGGAATTTCATGTGATTAAATATACATGGCTTAAGATGGTCCATTTAAATGGGATCATTGATAAAGGACTGTTGTCAATTGCCAATATGAATATGTTTGATGAATACTTGGATGATCATTATAATGAGTCTGTCAATGAAATGAACTATATTTATCAGAATTATTTTAAGATTGTGTGTGATGAGCTTGAACAATTAGATGAATGTATTGCCGCCTTGGGTATGGACATATCTTGTAATAGACCAACCAAACCATCCAAATTGATCATCCACGACCTCTCATTTTCTGTGCTTGAGAAATTAAAATTACTGCAAAACCGTTGTAACAGCTCTTCCATGCTTATTCGAAAATTCCGAGTCTAGGGATAAATTTATTATTTTACCAAAACAGGCATTTGCCTGTTCTCTCTCTCTCTCTCTCTCTCTCTTTCTTTCCTCTCCTTTATTATTATTCAATAAACTACTATTTTTATACAAGCTTCTTGGCCATAAAGAAATTCTTAAAGTAATGCATTTGCCAGAAACAAACAACACCAAGAACAATGAGTTGAGCAAGAGTCCACCAGACAACACGAGAGTTGGTAAGTTCAGATTGATCACGGAAATCCTTTTCACGGTCCTTCATTTTTTTTTTTTTTCTCTCATCGTTAATGCACTGTGTTTAAAAAAAAAGAGGGGTGGTGGAACTTACATGTTGAGCGCTTTGTTCGATTTGAATATCTTCAACACGTTCGTTTAATTCATGAACTCTCTTTACCAAATCTAATACAATGATGATCAATAACTCAATCTTAAAAATCAATCGATGGTTACGTACCAGATACACCATCGGCGTTATGGTCATGGTGGTCAGTTGGGTCATCGAAATCCATATCGAGTGTAAGTCTCTAAAAACATGATATCAGTATCTAACACACAGATACACAAGATTAAAAAAAACTTTACAGTTCTGGAACTATCGAACCAACCGTTTGTAGCAGCAGAAAGACAGATGGAATGATCGCCTGAATCGGTGGATGTAAAAGTGAAGCGACCTGAAGACTCGCCCTTTGTTTCGAACGTTTTGTGACCTTGAGGAAGTTCCTATGACAGCATTGTATCATTAAAAAAAAAAAGCCCACCACAAAGAAACAATTCACATCTAAAAAAAAAAACAAACCTCGACAGTAATTTCAATTTTTAATTCCTTGTTTTCAATCCATTGATTTTGAGCAGCATTAAATTGTTCTGACTTGTAAATACCTATAATTTATAGAGTGAGTTTCCATGTTTTTGGATGAAAAACTATATATAAAAAAAAAAAAACTGTTACCAATGACCATGGTTTCTTTAGGTAAATCTTCAATGAAGCATTTTTTCTCGGAGCCTTCCAAGTAAAAATACAAGGCTTGCGTGCCAGCGAGATAAGCAACCAGCAAAAAAAGCACTGAAAGATGCATGTGAGCCATTTTGGGTTTAATAAAAAATGAACGCGAAAGAAGGGGGGAAAAAAGGTTCTCAAAACTTGGCGGCCAATAAAACCTGGTTTTAATTTCTGACGTTGACTTTTGTGATTTGCGCTGGTGCCCCGAGCGGGGTTTCTAAAAGTAGAGAGCTGCTTTTGCTTTTGAAGGGACGGGGCACGCGATTATTGAGTAAGAAGAGCTGAGCTATCAGGCGAGTTCTGGGGTATGGTTGAGAAAGTGGGGTCCAAAGAAACTGTTCAATTTAATGTTAGTAAAAAAAAAATGTAGCCGTAAAGATTTCAATAGTATTTATGTTTACCTTCAAATACAGACAACCAGGACATATCACACTTCAACAAATACATGTGTTTTGCATGCGATATATTGTTAAAGCGGAATTCAGGGCAGCTACAAGACATCATTTGGAAATCGTCTACCACAACGTTGTAATTTACACCTAAAGTCGAGAAAGAAGTAACAACATATACACTTCTACCATCCTAATCAGTGGTTGCAGTTTCTATTATTTGCTCAAGGGCATCAGCACTGATGGTCTCTGCTTGCATCTATCTAGCAAAATGTCCAATTTTCAAAAAAAAAAAAATACGACTGATGTTATGGTGGTACTCAAGCAGAACATCCTTCACTAAATAAAACAAACACCGATCGATCAACTCTACGGTTTCTTTTTCTACCAGGATATGTTGTCTTCAACTGGTTATGTCAACTCTCTATATACGTTCTCGTCTCCATGTAGGTGTAAAATTGCGGTTGGTATGCGGCGGACCATCGCATAAACGCATCGTTTCCCAGGTACCAGCTTTTAAAATACTGCAAAAAGGCAGGATGCACAGAGTTTTCAGTGATAAACGCTGTCAACATTATCTCTCAAGAACCCCAAGAAGTTGGCCAATAGACCCATTGATTGATCGATTAAGAAAGAAAAAAAAAAGCAACAGGATAACCAGTGCCGGTCAAGGAATGGACGATGCAAATTACACTTAGAAATATTTCTATAGCCGAGGTTTCAACACTGTTCGGTCCCATCTCTTTACCAAGTAAGGTCATTCTGCATGAAAAAGCCAAAGGACGACTCTGATGCCATTTTTTTATTCGGGTATTTAAGGAGTTGCATGGGCCCCCTATCATTGTGCTTTATAGAAAAATATATGTTGCATGGATTTAAAGTATACAGATGAAATAAATGGGTTGCTTTACACAAAAAAGAAAACATGGTTAAATGATCTTTTGAACAACTCATGCACCCTTTGACCAAAGGAAAAAAAAAAACTGTATCGTATGTTTTGAGAGTATCACGTAATTCAGGAAGTTAGTATCGTACATATGACTGTTTATCAAATAGAACAGGTCTGTAAGTCGATCGTCAAAATGCTAAAAAGAATAGCGTAAAACCCCCTTCAAAAGATGACTAGACATCCGCAATTATCTGCGGGGATTAGTACATAAACTATCTTTTCACGCTACAGTTGGCAACAAACCAAAAAAAAAAAAAAAAAAAAAATCTATTGGGTTTAGTTATGGAGTTTAATATGGCATACCATACCATTTCAAGGTTCTCTAGACGTATGTAAAGCCAACTTCACGAAGTAATCGATGCGTTTTTTTTATACATATAATATACTCCACTATTGGAACAAGCTATTGCTGAAACACAAAATGTCAGCATTACATATATACAAGCATGAAACTTTTTGAAAGCGTTTCTATTATAAGCAAAGGCCTGAACATTATGGGTGGTTAAATGATTGATACATCATTTCAACCGAAACAGACTTCTTGTTTATCAGTCACTATAAACAAACTCGCTAAAATATGACATAGACGAAGAAGATACGCTTCAATTTATTTGCAGGTGTCTGTATCATTACGGCTACAGCTAGTTTTGTTGCTATACAATTGGGGGGACCTTTCATTAATTGGACTTATACTGTATGTCCCTCATTATATGGTATCTATTGTAATCTTGATTACGGAAATCACGTATATGGATATTGTTTCAATACAATTAAGGGAACGAGATGTTGCAATAGGTCACAACTTTTTTTTGAAAGAAAAACTTGTTCCTAGTGCTTGTATTGCTTGATAATGTGAAATCATGATGTGGTGTATATTAGTATACTTTTGGGGGCCAATGGACTTTTTTATGTAATCACGTACTTCGTGACTGTTCTCATAGGGGGGTGGACCACAAAAAATATGATTTTGCAACAGATTACAGGTTGTTCTATTTATTACAAAAGAAAATGGGTGGCATCAAAAGGCGTTCGAGTAAAAAAAAAAACATATGAGAATGTCATAATAATATTGGACATGCATACTGATCTTTTAATATTTCTACAGCCAGAGCAAACCCTGTGGAGTCAAGTTCATCAGACGAGGAATTAGATCCTCCTTCCAGTTCTTCTGTTGAGCCTGAAGAGAGGCATGTCGAGGAAACCACAGGGGAACAAGAGCAACACCTGAACCCTGTCGAAGAAACTACACGCGAGCCAGAGCAACACATGGATCTTGTCGAGGAAACCACTCATGAACAAGAGCAACACATGGATTCTATCAAGGAAGATGAATTAGAACAGAGCATGCTTGAATTGGCCGGAGAAGAGGAAGAGGAAGGGGAGGAAGAGGAAGGGGAGGAAGAAGAAGGAGAGGAAGAAGAAGAGGCATCTGAATTAGAGGCTGAATCACACCATGCCCTGTTTTCCGAAATTTCTGAAGTTCGCTATTCCGAGAATGAGGATCCGTCCGTGGTGGAGGACAGCCCTGAAGGCCTTGATCGAAGTATCAAGTCCGAACTCAGGTTTCTTCAATCAAGTAAAAAAAAGCATTTTTTTTCGGATCTACCGAACCATTGCTAATAGTTAGTCTTTAGGATTGACCAGGAAAAATATTACGAATGTAACAAAAAAGCTATTGAGTCTTGAGCCATTAATTTCAAAATATGGGTTAAGTCGAAAATTATTCAGAGTTTGGTTTCAAATTATTGGATTAAGAAACCAGTGTAAGTGGCAAATATATATATATTTTTTTTAAAAAAATGATTGAGGGAATTGACAAGTTATTTGTAGCTGTTTTTCAGGCTAAAAAAAGTTTGTCCGTCTTGTTACCTCGAGATGAAGTATCCGAAAACCTTATTCTTCCAATCTTTAGTCGACTTGGTCTAAAATCAGCAAATATGGCACTTCTCGTAAGTTTTTAATTTATTTTAAAAATTACATCCTCAAAGGTTAAATAACAATTTTATATAGAATGTGTTTTTAAAATGGATCATTTGTGTATATGATTACCTCGATTCGACAGAAACAATCACAAAACTATATACGGTCTTGTTTCATTACCTGCCCTTTCGAGTCATAAGGTAAAAAATCATTGTACGTCCCCCCCCCCATCCCCGTTATTATCTTTTTTTTTGGGTTTTCCCCAGAATTTTTTTTTCTTAACACGTTAAGTATAGAGATAACCTTTGTCATTTGCTCTATTACATGACACGAAAGAGTCACGTAACACCATACCGAATTAGAACATTGTAAAGTATTTGTATCATTTGTGCGTTGAGAACAATACTAAAAAAAAATTCGAATGGGAGGGAATAGAAACGAACTGATCGAACAAGAAAAGGACAATGCTTCATTGATTGGATTATTGGCGGTGTATCGGACTTTCGATCATTCGGTTCAGGTACCTGTGAATGTCCGATTAAGAAGTATGTTTGCATTTGAGGTAATGATGAACATTTTTATGTATAAAACAAAGAACCGGGAACACTAATAAGAGAAAGAACAGCATCCTGACCCAAGCTTTAGAGTCAAAATGAGGAATATTTGGGCCTATTGGGGAGATGAATCTCACGTGGGTGGGATAGGCAAACCTTCGATCAGAATACGCTTGGAGAATGACAACGTGAAAAAGAAGAAGAAAACGACAGCCACAGAAGATTTCAAGATACGTCCTGCTAAACGCTTGGATGTGTTTGAAGCATTTGATCGCAATAAAGATATGCCCTATTCAAAACAGTTGCAAATGTTGTTAGAGGATAGACAAATGCAGCACCTTTTAGTTTGTACTGTAGATGGTAAGACAAGACAACCCTTTTTTATATAATGAATGATATTAAAAGCATTGTCTGTTGATTAGAGGGAATGTTGGTGCGTTTAGGCTACTGGTTAGGAAACGAATTATCCGTTGCCCTTCGATTCAATAACAGTAAAGACAAGGGAAAATCCGAACTCAAGGAGCTTTTACAAAAGTTATTAGCTCTGACAAATTTTTCTAAAGTAAGCTAACAAGGATTAAGCCAAAAAAAAGAAAGAAAGAGAGAAAGCAAAAATTAACAATGACTTTTTTTTTTTTTTTAATAGGCACAATTACCTGTTATCCAATCTTTTTTAAAAATATACTTGCAATCTTGGAACGGTGTTGAATTTTCTGATGAAATATTTGGGCTGATAGCGTTTGTAAAACCGAATGATTATGAAGAATTATATCACGACATTTTATTACCGCTGTATCGAAAGTACTCTTTGATGAATGTAACTTGGAAAACGAAATTAATTAACTGTTACACTGAATGGCTAAAAAATTGGGCATTATTGGATTGGCGGGGTCACAAGGAAAGACCTCATGTTAATGGTGTTGATAATATGTAAGTTTTTTTGTTGTTGCTGTTGTTGTTGCTGTTGTTGTTGCTGTTCTTTTTTTATATATATATATATAAAAGAAAAAGACACACATGTAGGTATACTAATACACACATCTAGCACCTGGTTATTTGACGGATTATCGATTCATGTGGATTATTTCGAAACGATGCAAAAGATTATTGAGCACGTTGATAAAATTTGTGTGATGGGTCTATTAGCTGAAAATGATCATCCTCTTTTGCAACATGCAACACTTTCGTTCTTTGAAATGGTGGCGATGATTCCTCAGGAACACGATATCCCGGAAATTATTGTGCCTTCAGTGGACTTGGTTGTGAGGTGCTTCTTTTCTTTTAATGCCATGGCTACCAGTCGGATGTGCGGCATCATCTTTGACTATATAAACGCGTTCTACAAGAACGATCAAAAAGAAGAAGACTGGGTATCTCGACATTCATCTGAATATCTCGAACAGTTCAATACTTATGTCACGGATATATGTACGGCCTTGTGGAGAGACAAGGCTTTAGCCATAGAAGGAAATGCAACGGCATTTGGAATATCCCAGTAAGTTGCATCTATAAACAAATTTCCCTCACGTTCTTTTTTTTTTTTAACTATTTATGAAGAACGAATATTCAATCTTATGCTGATATTTGTGAAGAAAGAGGAGAAAAATTTGGTTCTTGTTTTTCAATCATTCAACATGCTGCATTAGCAGGGTTTTCAAAGAGATTCTTTAAGGTAAGAAGACTTTTTTTATTCTTTTCCCCCCCTTTATTTTGTTTTTCAAGAAAAAAACTGCATGAATTTTTTTTTTTTTTTGTTAAACCAAAAAAAAAAATAAAAAATGTATATACATTAGGAGCTGGAACAGACTGTAAATGTAGAAGAGAAGCTCCAAGAAGTAGCTTCATCGAAATCTTTGGCAGATCTTGCAGAGGTAAAAGATGAAAAAAAAAAGGAAAGATAAAAAGAAGATACTGAATATATATTTATAAATGTAAACAAAAAAGCAAGGAGGAATCAGTATTGAATATTTTGAATATCGAGTAGAATATTTAAATTATTTAAGAAGTAAGGGATTAACGGGTATTCGAGACCTACTGTATGCCAGTATGATTTCACTGATTAATCTCTCACAAAAAAGAGAGGAAGACGGGGAACTCCAATAAATAAAAAAGTAAAAGGGAGGGATGTTAATGTTACTGTTGTAGAATGCTACACCAACTTGTCAAATCACACAAAATGTAAAATCGTGCTTTTTATTGGTTACTTTTTTTTTAGAAAAAGGAATAAATACTCGTGTTATTCCTTATTTTTTTTTTTTCACTTTTTTTTTTCGATAAAACTTATTTTTTTTCTTGTTCATTCTTTTTTTCCCTTTTTCTTTTTTATATTTCGGTAGACATTCATTTTAGAAAAAAAGTAAACTATCCATACTATATTTTATATCTTTTGTCCTTTTTGTTTTATTAAAATATCACGCTTTTTTTTTCTTTAATAGTTAATTATACATAATGAGAGAAATTATTCACGTACAAGTCGGTAAGTAAAAATAAATAAGAAAAAAACCAAGTTAGAATACAAGGGGGTTAAAAAAGGGGAAACGAGGAGAGAAGAGTGTGTGGAACAAACAATGAAACTGATTCTCAATAGGTCAATGTGGTAACCAAATCGGTCAAAAGTTCTGGGAAACTATTTCACAAGAGCATGGTCTTGATACAAACGGTGCTTATGCTGGTGATAACGATCTCCAATTAGAGCGTATCAACGTCTTTTATAACGAAGGCTCATCCGGCCAATATGTTCCTAGGTAACAAATTAAATTAATTTTTTTTTTTTTTTTTTATCATCTCTCTCATACCTTAAAATGTCGTCTATAGATCTGTTCTTGTCGATCTTGAACCAGGAACCATGGATACCGTTCGTTCTAGTCCCTATGGTAAATTATTCCGCCCTGATAATTTCATCTTTGGTCAAAATGGTGCTGGTAACTCTTGGGCTAGAGGTTATTATACTGAGGGAGCAGAATTAGTCGAGCAAGTTTTGGATGTTGTTCGTAAGGAAGCTGAACACACTGATTGTCTTCAAGGTTTCCAACTTGCTCATTCTCTTGGTGGTGGTACTGGTTCCGGTCTCGGTTCTCTTTTACTTTCCAAGATCCGTGAAGAATACCCCGATCGTATGCTTTGTACCTACTCCGTCGTTCCTTCTCCCAAGGTCTCTGATACCGTTGTTGAGCCTTATAACGCTGTTCTCTCTGTCCATCAATTAGTCGAGAACTGTGACGCCACTTTCTGTATCGATAACGAAGCTCTTTATGATATCTGTTTCAGAACCCTCAAGTTGTCTAACCCCGATTACGGACAATTAAACGAATTGGTCTCCACCGTCATGTCTGGTGTCTCCACCAGTTTGCGTTTCCCTGGCCAATTGAACTCTGATTTACGTAAGCTTTTCGTCAACATGGTTCCTTTCCCTCGTCTTCATTTCTTCATGGTTGGTTTTGCCCCTCTCACTGCTTTCGGTTCTCAACAATACCGTAACTTGAGTGTTCCCGAGTTGACTGCTCAAATGTTCGATGCCCGTAACATGATGGCTGCCTCTGATCCTCGTCACGGTCGTTACTTGACTGTTGCCACTATTTTCCGTGGTCGTCTTTCCACCAAGGAAGTCGAGAACCAAATGTTGGCTGTTCAACAAAAGAACTCCTCTTACTTTGTTGAATGGATTCCCAATGGTGTCAAGACCTCTCTTTGTGATATCCCTCCTGTCGGTCTCAAGATGTCTGGTACATTCATTGGTAACAGTACTGCTATTCAAGAGTTATTCAAGCGTGTCAACGAGCAATTCACTGCAATGTTCAGAAGAAAGGCTTTCTTGCATTGGTACACTGGTGAAGGTATGGATGAGATGGAATTCACTGAGGCTGAGTCCAACATGAACGATTTGGTCTCTGAATACCAACAATACCAAGAGGCCACTGCTGATGATGAGCTTATGGAAGACGAGGATTATCTTGAGGAAGACCAAATTCTTGAAGAAGATTAAATTTCTTTCTCACGCTAAACCCCCCCTCTCTCTCACTTCTCACACACATACAAGCACTCCCCCTCTTATTAAAACATAATAATATATCACTTCCCTTTTTTTTAATAAAACACCATATATACACACAATCCTATCATCATCTTATTTTCTGTCGTGTGTGTTATGGTCCCACACGCTCTCACACGTGACTTTTTATTGTAAAGTAACCTATCAGGGAATTTTTTTGGAGTTTCTTTATCTTTTCCCATGAACGCATTTGATTCACAACACTCTTTAGACTATAGAGATGATCTACTTGAAAGCAACCCATTTGCCGACACACCTTCCCGCAGCACCGAATTAAATATCAATACCTCCTTCATCAGCAGTGATAGTAGTGAGCCAGTCGTTTTTGAAGCGGAACAAGAAGACGAGTCAGAACCCGAAGAGAGTCCAGTCGAGCCACCACCACCAGCAACAGCAGTTGTTGAACAAGATCATGTAGAGATTCATCAAGGAGAGACCGTTCTTTCCCCCATCTCTACCGTAGATCAACTTGAGCAATTAAGCTTGAGTCCATCCGGAGAAGAACCTGTTACAGAAACCGATACCCAGGTAAATATTCTTTCTTTTTTTACATGTCCATAAATCTCCTCTTTTTTTTTCCCTTCCCTTCCCTTTTGCCTCTACCTACCCCCCCTCAAACCCAACCGCACCCCCGGATTTTTTTTTTTATAAACATGTCTCTTTTTCTCATTTGATAGTCAGAATCTTTACAAGTGCCCAAAAGTGGATCCCGGCCTTATTTCTCGGTATCCATCGAAGATCCACAGAAAGTGGGAGATGCTATTAATGCACATATTATCTATAAAGTGCGAACCAAGGTAAAATAATCAAATTGTCCCCCCGCGCACACCTTTTCCCTTTTTGGGGAAGAAAAAATAAAATAATAATTAGAAATCCCGATTGATGTATGTATTTTAGACAAATTCTCCTTCTTATCGTTCCTCTGAATTTGTTGTGGCAAGAAGGTATCGAGATTTCTTATGGCTGTATAATCAACTTACTTTAGGAAACCCCGGCGTGATTGTACCACCTGTTCCTGAAAAGCATGCATTAGGTACTAATTTTTTTTTTTTTTTTTTTTTTTTAAAAAAAAACAACATGGTTGAAAAAAATCATACATCTTACAATATTCATATATATATACAAAAAAAAAAGGTCGATTTCAAGATGATTTCGTAGAGTCGAGAAGGATTGCGTTAGAGAGATGTTTACAGAAAATCGTGGCACATCCTACCCTCTATGGCGACCCTGATCTAAAAGTCTTTCTCGAAAGCGAATCATTTAATGTAGAAGTAAGCCGGTTTTTTTATATTTGTTACCATATTGTTTTTATTTAAAACATGGCAAGTTTAGAAACGACAAAGAAGAGCTGAACCAGAGGCATCCAAAATGAGCTTTATGCGATCATTTGGCGAAACACTTTCAAACGCAGCTACAAGTCCGTTCACCAAATTTGTAGAAATAGATGAATGGTTCGAGTCAAAAAAGAATCAGTTAGATGCTTTGGAGGCTCAGTTGAAGGGATTACTAAAGAGTGTTGAAGGTGTAGTGAAACAGCGAAAAGGTAAAAAAAAAACAAAAAAGAAAAGCATTGTCCTTTTTGTTACATGTCCCTTTTTTTTCATTGACCTTTTTTTTTTTTCCTTTTCTAGAGTTGGGGTCGGCTACCTCTGATTTTGGAGAGAGCATGTTCCCACTTGCTTCAGCAGAATTAAATCATAATTTATCCACACATTTAAAAGTACTGGGAGAGATCCAAAAACAAATGAAGGCGTTACATGAGCAACAGGCACAGTATGATATCATCACTTTGGAAAATACGATTGATGAGTATATTCGAATTATAGGCTCTATTCGAGTAAGTGTTACCATGGAAAAACCCCCCACCACCACCGATAAAAAAAAAAAAAAAAATAGGATTGACATGTCAAATTAGATTGCATTTAGTGCACGGGTCAAGGCATATCAAACATTTCAACAGGCGGATTCTGAATTACAACGGAAAATGGCACTGTTTGAAAAACTAAAAGTGCAACTAAAGAATAAGCCGGAGCGTTTAAGTTCGTCTCAGCAAGAGCTAAATGAGATGAAGGGTCGGGTTGAAGAGTTACAACAAGAGTTTCAAGAAATCTCGAAAACAATCAAGAGCGAACTAGACAGGTTTGATAAGGAGAAAGTTGAGGATTTCCGTGATAGTGTAGAGCAATTCTTACGCAGTATGATTGAACATCAAAAGCAAATTATCGCGTTATGGGAAACTTATTTTGAACAAACGGATGGGCTAGATGATACGCAATAAAAATAAACTTGTTTATGTACATGCAATGAATTCTATTTTTTTTTTTTTTTTTAGTAGCATTTATACTTATATTTCATACACAAGTTTTGCCTATGCTTTGTATTATTTCTTGATTTTCATATCCTACATTTATGACATAAACTAAACTGGTCTGTTCTTTTTGGCCATTTTACAATGAAACTCATTCAGATAAATCAGGCAAATGAAGAGAAAAAAAAAGGGCTTTCCCGTAAATAAAAAGATCCACGGTATCCCATTATCTTCCAACATGATGGTAAGTAACACTTGTGAATAACAATTATCTGGGTTTTAATCATATTGCACGTAACAACAATTCATTTGCTCTCCCAGCCTTTGATTTTTTTCTGTCTTTCTTTTTTTTTTTTTTTTTTTACATATACACCATCATGGTCAATCTCTCTTTGTACTCCATTAAAGCTGTCATCTTGCTTGATGCAGAGGGAAATCGCGTTTTAGCAAAATACTATGGTACAGAAAATACGACACTGAAACAACAAAAGCAATTTGAAAAGGGTTTATTTGATAAAACCAAGCGTGCACAAGGTGAGACTGGAAAGGAGAGAAGAATAAGACAAGAGGAAGCTCATCATTATACTTTTTTTTTTTTTCTTTCACAAAGGTGAGGTGATTTTATACGACAATCAGGTTGTCTTGTATCGTTCGAATATCGACATTTTCTTTTATGTTGTTGGTTCGATGGAAGAGAATGAATTGATTTTGCTGAGCATGTTGAATGCTTTTTATGATGCTGTGTCTACTTTATTGAGGTAAGACGGGGGGGGGAGAGAGGGCGTAAACAATGAAAGGAGAGGGGTTGGGAAATACTGACGTAAATGATAGATATCAAGTAGAAAAGCGTTCTGTCATGGATAATTTGGATTTGGTTATTCTTTGTCTTGATGAGACTGTTGATGGAGGGTAAGATGATAAGATGGAGAGAGTGGAGAGAGAGGATGGTTATTAATGACAGTCTTTAGTATCATATTGGAGACAGATTCAAATGCTATTGTCAGTCGAGTATCTAAACCCCGTATGGATATGGTTGATATTCCTTTCTCTGAGCAGACATTGATGCAAGCTTATCAATCGGCTAAAGACAAATTCGCCAACCAATTACTGAGATAGATTTTAATATTATTATTATTATTTCCGCCCTTAAGTCCCTTAAAAATACTATTTTCAATGAATTGCCGTCTCTGGAATTTTGGGAAAATAATAAACATAGTATGATTGATGCGACCGAAAACTTTATATTTATAAAAGCCTTTTGTTGACACTTTTTTGAGATAGACATTAAATATGTGTGACAAAGCCAAATTTCCCACATAATAGATATACACACACGCGCAGGCAGTAGAGATGACTGCTTAGATAACCCAACTCTACCTTTTCTATTCTATTTCCCCCAGTCGGTTGTAATTTAGTGTCTTCATCAGCAACAACAACAACAAAAAATAACAAGTACAACAAACAACAACAACAAAATGCTGCATAGAATTGCATGGATTGCTACGCCGATATATATTTGACCAAGGGGTGAGTTTAAGTTAAAAAAAGAAAACCCGAATGAGCTTATTTTCTGTATCATCATAATGTCAGGGTCAAATATAAAACAAACCCCCTTGATTTTTGTGTTTTGTTTTCATTATCTCCTATTTTAACACTTGTAGAGTGCGAAAATAAAGAGAGAGAGCGAGAGCAAAAAAAAAAAAAAAAAAAAAAAAAAAAAAGAGTGACTTGACAGATTGACGACGGATCGTATAAATAATATTGATTAATAGGGGCTACCGGAGAAATCATGAATTTGGGTCGTTTGATATAAAGTGATATCCTCCCCCATATTATAACACTTGATGTATTAGGCAATAATATACTGGGACTTTTTTTTATTATTATTATTATTTTCATAAATCAAATTTCATTGTCTGTAGTCATGGTAACCCAACTAAAAGAAGATAACGGTTTAAAAAGAAATAATATACATCTTGTCGATAGTAAATAATTGCCACAAATAATAGAAAGTTCTGTCCCTTATAAATCCCCTTGAATCAAATAAATTTATAAATAAAGGTGATAACAATCTTTTTTTTTTTTCTTCTTATTATTTTGTCTTTCTTTCTTTTAATAAAATAAAAATGGATTATACCTCTCCTCCACCCACATACTTTAATTCTGTCAGTCGTTCGTACTCTCCAGAATATCATCATGTGGATTCGCCTACCTACAGCTTTTCAAGCGGCAGCAGCAGTGATCTATCAAGACCTTTTGATGATACATTTATGATCAAAAGAGAGGGAATATCACCTATACCTGACTCGTTTTATGACGCTTATTCTCACCACTTGTCAACGGGGTTACCCCTTTTAACGCCACCAGCAAATGAACACTATATCAAGAAGGAAGATTACCAAGAGAACAATATCATGTGCTGCCCACCTCCTCCTCCACCACCACAACCAACATGTTATTCAGGCTGTGATTGCATAGGTCCCAATGTATTCTATAATGGGATGGTTTCAGAGGCAATGTTCTATGACCCTTTACCATACAATCTATTACCTCCTCCACCACAACAGCAGCATCAGCCTTATGTCAATCAACGCTCAAGACAACGCATGCCCAGAGATTCATCGATACCCACTTTACCTGAAAAGTCCTCCAATGGGAGTCATGCTACACCCAGAAGATATAAATGTACTCTTTGCGTCAAGCGATTTACCCGACCAAGCTCATTAGCAACACATATGCATAGCCATACTGGCGAGGTAAGACAAGAAAAAAAGATTCATAGAAAAAGGGGGTTGATTACTTATCACTATGATTTAGAAACCATACAAATGCGTTGTGGAAGGTTGCGGGCGTAGATTCTCCGTCGTCAGTAATTTACGTCGTCATGCTAAAATTCATACACATACCCCATAATTAAAAGGATAGAGCAAGACTCCTTCTTTTTTTTTTTCCCTCCTTTTTTCTTTCTCCTTTTTTTTTTTTTTGTTTTATTTTTTTTTTGTTTCGGTGGTAAAACGTCGAATTGTAATTAATTCAGATAATTAACTCTTTCTTTCTTCTTCTTTTTTTTTTACACAATATACATGTCACTAAAAAGCAAAAAAAAAAAAAAAAACCAAAAAGAATCAAAGTGTGTAATAAATAATAAAAAAAATATAGAATAAAAAAAAAAAAAACTCCTGCAGACATGTCATTAACAATTTGGAATTTCAAATCCATCTTTGTATCACAGACATTGCATCAATGTCAAAATTATAAAATCAGCTAAATTATTCATCTCCTGCGTTTTGTGCCTTTGTATGTATGTGATATCGTAAGAGAGAAAGAGAGAAAGAGAGAGAGAGAGAGAGAGAAAAGAGGATCGAGTATTTGTTTGTTTATCTCCCATGGACAAGAGGTCGAGACTAATACATAAAACAAATAAATAAGTAAGTTGACAGCTATCTTTTTTCTAAATACAGTAACGTGATCAGTGTTGTCTCTTTGTTCAAACTTGTAATCTGGTTACATTTAAAAATTGCTCGCCCAACAAAAAAAATCCCCCCCCCATGACTTCTTTAAAAGGACGGAATCTTTGGGATTGGGTGTCAAAAAGTCTTGGGTTGCAGGTAATTTTGAAGGGTAAATCCCCCAAAATACAAGAATACCTTTTGCTTTTCCCTTAATCCTTCAAATCTAATATAGAGTTTATGATCCCCTCTAACTTCATCTATATTAAAAAAAAGCTCGTAAAACCCACATTGGCTCCATTCCTGTAGTCAAGAATAAATCACATATGATGGATATGCATCCACATGTTTTAGTCAATACCTGAAATGTACCCGTTCTTCAAGGAGTTCTTTTATTCCTGTGACTTGCGTTAATACTTTCCGTTCAGGAGGTTCCGGTACAGCTACCTTTTTTAAAAACGTATCATGTTGTTACGTATCAAAAATAATAGCTATTCTGGTGTGTAAAACTGCTCTTTAGTTTATCTTAAAAAAAAAAAAAAAAAAATGATACGCTTGACATATTTGGAACCATATCATCGACTTGAGGCACTAAGTGCTAACGTAAACTTAACCTTAATAATGAGGCAAATAAGAGGATAAAGCAATCATATGTGGGTTCAATTTTTGGCTTATTTGGTTACTCCTTTAATATCTTTGAAATGAAAGAAAAAAATTAGACCGTTTCTCTTTCTCAATACTCTCACAGCGCTCTTCTATTAAAAATGGTGATTTTAATCACTATAGCCGCGACTAATGTTACGCAAGCAAGGCTGAGTCATAAGTCAATGTACCCCTTAATAAGATGACCCTTGTTAGCGTAAGAAATAGAGGGGATAGGAGGGGCTTCCTTGTTTTTTTTTTTTTTTTTTTTTTTTTTTTTTTTGGAAATCGTTCAAAATGCAAGTGATATTGGATTAGGCGACGGGGGAGCTTTTTTTTAGAAGATTAATGTTCGTCATCGTTCAAAGAATTTTAGGATACGGTAAACACAATGCTACGACTGCTGATTTGTAGCGTAAGCATGTGTTCTTTTTGAACGTTCTAGGTAAACAACGGATTCTTACCCATTTTGTAAAACCGTTCAAGGGTACACTCCATTGTCCAATCAATTGTATTTAATTCTGTAAATTATGCAGAGACATTTTCTTATGCTTACACGCTTGAAATTTTTTATATCAAAGTTAAAGATGATGAACTGAATATTTAATGTTACTTTTCTACACAGTTTTACTTAGCAGCTACCCTCTGCCATTTTGTTTAGTAATATATATTATTCTAAGCTGACTACAGACATACAGAGCAAGCATAACTCTACTAAACTTACCTAGCTTTGTCAAGTAACTTAAAACAGCAGAAGCAGGAGCCATCGTAAATTACTTATCATATCTGATTCTGATAGACTTTGAGTAAAATAATGATAATAACTTTTTTTCCATGCATATATTTGCAAACTTAACGTGAGTTTGTAACGTAAAAATATGTGAAGTATTCATTTTCCAGGCTTTTTCACTTGTAATATGATTGAATGGATTCATGCTAGTAATTTCATTTTATGAAAGTTAACTTGAAAGCAAACAAAACTTTGTTGTGCAGTTACGGACTGTTGCTAGAATTTAGGCAATTTTTTTTTTTTTTTAGGTAGCAGCAATGTATTTAACTGTATCGACAGATTTAACCTGCGCTCACTTTAGAACAATTGTAAAATTTTATTTAAAAATGTCGCAACCCCATCTTTGCTGACAATCTAAAACGTCTCTCTTTTTGTGGGCTCGTCAACTTGAGCTTTTTAAAAAAGAAAATTACCATGTGACGTACTATACATAACATCCCCCGGAAAACACGGCTGATACTAATATCTATTTATATCAAGACCACGTTTTTAAAAGAGTTGCATAAAATATGTAGACTGAAAAAAAAAAAAGCTGACCTTTTTATAGTGCATGGAGTAAGGTGAAAGATGTGCCTCTTTTTTTTTTTCTTTTTTTTTTTTCGCATAACGAATCAAACATCATGCTTATGTTCTGTCTGTAACTCGCATATTTGACGAAAAAAAAAAAAAGACCCCCTTTTATAAAAGTGTAAATTATTACGGACTCGACTATCAGTATTTTGGTTTGAAAATAAATCTATGACCTACGACAGCTTCCCTATTTATCATTTTGCATACATGATTTTTTTTTCCTTTCTGTTATAATAGCTTTAAGAGAACATCAGAACTGCTCTTCATTTGTCTATTAGATCTCATGGCATGTGGTAATGATATGTTTACTTCGTATTCGGAACACATCACATTGGTTCCATCTTTTTTTTTTTTTTTAGAGCACAATTACAAAGCAATCAGATAAAAGCGCGTTAAACGTAGTAGATATACTACAGTTACCTCTATTGTCGCCTTCGTAAGCAGCCATAAATTTGTAATGTTTTTTTAAGAAAAACATTTTCAACTTTACATACAGTCTAAATTTGCCATATTCAGAATAACAAGTTTTCCTCTTTGAATGACATATACTGGAGATTTGTTGTAATTGTTTTAAATTATTATAAAAAATAATCTAATATTCGGTATTATATGATACATGCTCTGGTAGCCACTTAACAAACATTCTATTTATTATAAATACTACTACTTTCCAACAATCTAAAAAAACATGTAACTCTTCTATAAGTAAATTAACTATGTAACTACGGATGTAGTTGAGCCATGAACTAAAAAAAAAAAAAAAAAAAAAAAAAAAAAACGAAACAAATAAAGACTACTATATAATTTTTGTATGCCAACTAAAGTAACTATACCCATATACAAAACTTACTTCATAAACTAAAAAAGTAAAATATGGACAAAAGTCAAAAAAAAAGTGTTAATTTAATTAGATCATGATAAAGGAACTATGCATATGATCGGTTTATGCAGTTCTCAAAGTTTCAAAGACTAATTTGCGACCTAAGCATGGCACTGCCACCTGATGTACATTTAAAGTAATCCCTGAACATCTTCGATATCACGATCATCCTTCGTCTGATATAAAAAAGTATATCTTAAATAAATAGTGCTTTGTACAGGTATAGCTTCCTTGTTGTAGTCATATTGCCTTATTTAAATTGTACTTTCACCACTATCTCCTCATTACATTCGGAACGGTGATTTATTGCTTTTTTCTTCTTCTTTTCTTTAAATCAACTTTATTATAATTTCTACATATAACATCTATTGCTTGTGTTGTAAGGTAATTGAGTTTGAATTTTAAAATGAAGAGTAAGTAGAATAACAGATGAGCTTATAGTGAACATTAGACCGGGAAAGTTGTCAACTTCTACAGAATAATATGAAAGGTTTATAGCTTTGGATATCTTTAGCGACGATATTAGTTAAATGTATAATGTAAAATAGCAATAATACAAAACTGAATTTTAATTTGAGTTTAACGACGGAAGCTGTATTCAAGCATAATTAATAACTTATGTACTTTCCATTAAATAAAAATGTGAACTAAGATGGATTTTTAAGTCTTACTAAGAAAATAATCATGAATTCTAGGTCATACTTTAATAGAAAAGGCAGATAGTCAAAGTTATAAGGAGAGTTTGGAAGAAAACAAAGAAAAGATTAAAGACTGTCGTCACCAGTCCTTTGGTAAAACTGCAAATAGACCATAGTCATATTTTCTTTTAATAAAAGTTCATTCCAACCAAATGAAGCGGCTCGACTGTAAAATTATTTTATCACTATATGTAACCAATGCCTGCTAACTGTATCTCTCTAAAAACATGTTACTTGCATCTTTTCTGCTCAATATTCATTTTTTTTAAAAACTGTGTTACTATTACGGTTTGTAATCTAGTAAATGTACACATATTTTGGATATTAAACAATATAATACTCACTAGTATGTTTTAGCTGTCATATCTTTCCGTTGATCATCATTCTCCATTTCTAATTATCATCCTAAGAACCATCTAACAACGCACTACACACTACCACCCTTTCTGTTTTCGTTGAGTTTTTAAAGCCCTTTGTTATAAAACTCTCTTTTTTTTTTTACCATAATAATATCTCTAGTTTTGTTCACAGAGGTCCGCTTTAATATACAAAGTCACTGCAACTGCCAGAAATATCCTCTTAAAATCAGTCTGAAACAGTCTTTTACTATAGTATTTTGCCAGAAATATGAAAGAGCACTTTTGACAGATTTGTAAAATATTCATTTCTTGTATTTCTGCCTTCTATCATTGAAATTTCTTTTAATTCTCATTACTTCCACTTTCTAGTAACAAAATATAACTGAATGTAACATTTTCCGAAGTATTTATTATATCCAGATTGCGGTAAAATTTTTAACATTTAATTTAACATATTTCATAACTGTCAACATGTAAACTAGTGTTCGAACTTTTCGAACTTGCGCCACTTTTTTTTTTGGGTTCGAGCGAGCATCGATCGAAGCTCGCTCGGCTAAAATGTCGATAGTAGTCACTTTAAAGTTAAGGTCCTTGAAAGACTAGTGATGGCATTTCCCCTTGATTTTAATCTTTTCTCCCCTTTACCATTTTTTTTTTATTTATTTATGTTCTAATAATTCCAACTAAAATGATTTAGACTTTTATTCAATTGTACAACCAACAAACACATTTAGCATAGAAAATGAT